TGTCGAGCTTCTCGTCAACCAACACCTCCAAGTCCTTCTCCTCAGGGCTGCTCTCAATCCATTCTCAACCCAACCTATGTTTGTGGTTGGGATTACCCCAACGCAGGTGCAGGACCTTGCACTTGGCCTTGTTGAACTTCATGAGGTTTGCACAGGCCCACCTCTCAAGCCTGTCCAGGTCCCTCTGGATGGCATCCCTTCCCTCCAGCATGTCGACTGCACCGCACAGTTTAGTGTCGTCGGCAAACTTGCTGAGGGTACACTCAATCTCACTGTCCATGTAGCCAACAAAGATGTTAAACAGCACCACTCCCAATACTGACTCCTGAGGAACACCACTCGTCACTGGTCTCCACTTGGACATTGAACCATTGACCACAACTCCTTGAGTGCAACCATCCAGCCAATTCCTTATCCACTGATGGTCCATCCGTCAAATCCATGTCTCTCCAGTTTAGAGACAAGGATGTCATGCGGGACAGTGTCAGATGCTTGATCTGGGGTCCCCTTCAATACCTGAATTAGAGGATCATGCTTTCCACTCCACTAACTGTCAGAAACCTATGAAGTGAAAACAGAGTTGAAGTCATTGAGTTATCAGGCTTAGAAGGATCTGTTTTTCCATGGAAACCTCTTCCCACCAACACCTAAGCTTTTACAAGAAGAGAAGCACTTCTCATCATGTGAGAGCTGTCAGGGAGCTGTGCTGTGCAAAATGCTGTAGCTGTGCAGGTGCCTGCTGCAGAAGTCTTGTCCTGCAACCAGGCAGCATACAGCCCCATTCCCAACAATCCAGCTGTAATTCTGTCTGCTCAATAATTTTTCACCATGGTCATGCCAGAATCATAGCCTTGTTTTCAGTTGTCTGGCTGTTAGTGGTGATATATGAATGAGTAAGAAAGACAGCTTCATTTTCATAAGCTAACTTGTGCCTGGAGTAACAGAGAGTGAGAGGAATGCACTTAATCATAACTGCAGGGCCAGAGCAGAAAACAATGACAGAGCTGTTGGTGATGGTATTTTACTATAATAACTCTTAGGAAGAAGAAACAGGCAGCTCAGAATGCTGAACAATTCAAATTCATTATGGTAGCCACCATGTTCTCATCTGCTGGAAGAATAACTCACACAACTCTTTTTACACTTGCCTTTTACAAAAGGCCATCGTAGGAAGGAACTCTAGTCTTTCTCCTCAGAAAATCTGAATTCAGATTGCGGTATGATTAGAGGGGAAATGAAGCTGGTGAAAGTCTCCGCAGAACTGCAGGCACCTTGCAAGGAAGGCATGCAGAGTGGCAGAGGGACAGGTTGGGGCTGATGGATGGTCAGAGACCTGTGGGCAAGGGGAGCAGCCAGTGTGCCTGCTCAACACCATGCATTGCTTTGGCCAGTGCCTCACTTCTGTAACTTCATAATGCATTTGAAAAAGTAAATAACTAAATGAAATAACTGGTAATGCTCAGACACGCTGGACAGATATTCTCACAATGATTCATTAATACAAAAAAAACTTTGATGAAAGCTTTGAGTGAAACATTTTTATTTGTTCAAAACTGGAAGGGCAAAACTTAGGATTTTATTTTGTTTGAACTTTTAGATACATAGAATAATGTGATATATATGGTATATATTATGCATCTGTATCATGTCAGATTGGTATTATTTAAAATGAGGAGGGTTGTACATTTAGATGTTATTATTTTGATATCTTCAGATCAAAATGTTTGGGGAATATTTTCCAGAGAATATTTCTGAATTTCTTTTTTTCTATACTGATTCAGAATGAAAACATTTTTTGGAACCATTAATATTTGCTATGCAGCTGAAGTTCTGGTTTCCTGATCATTTCTGCCCTAAGTCAAGATCATAGAGACAATGTAAAGGGAAATAAAAATATATTCTTCTTTGGCAGAGACAGCAATGCTATTCCAACCTAGAGAAAACAGAGAAGATGATACAAAACATACCTTCATAACTTTCTCCAAGGTGGCTTGGGAGGCAAGCCATCACATCTGCCTAGTAGGTTTTTAGACACCAGCAAGAGTTACGACAGCCTGACAAGTTGCATAATGCTCTACCCTAGGACAGTACGCGAACATGTGCGTATTCCCAGGCCATTGCAAAAGCAAGCTAAAGTGTGTTAGCTAGCACATTTTACTTTGTATTTGTGACAAGCTAAAAGGACATGTACAGGCAGTTATTCCAGCTCAGTTGATACACAGTAAGTCATGTTATCTGATCCATGTATCTAAGCCCTAAAGCTTGCATGATGTTAATTTCTGCCTTCATCCATGTTCTGTATCAAACCTCAAGGAATACTCGTGAGAGCAGGATTTGTTCTGGTGTCTTCAAAAATAAAGAGAAAAAGGGGAAAGAAATGATACAGCTATAATAAATACATGCAAACATAATTTCCTGAGCCTTTTCAGTTTATCTTAAGATGAGAAATAATAACTGAGAAATAAGTATTTCAGAGGTACATTGTCAGAACTGAGATTTTGGACTGGTAGGTGGGAAAGGAAAACCATTAACAAGCAGCAAGGTTTGTTCATTTTTTATTATTCATCAGTTTGAAGGCTGAACTCTGTGGCTTGTTGAGAAATGCATGGGGCTAAAATAATGAAAGCAGATTGATGCTCCATGGTAAGGAAGTTCAGTATCTGCTTCTTGCAAATGGAAATCTAACGTTTCTTTTGATGTTAGCAGTACTGTTCTGAGAAGGATCTATAGACTGCTGAGTTGTGAAATGTGCTGTTAGAATATGGGCAGGGTCACTCTCTTCCTACCAGCTGTGCTAGTCCATTCCAGCCCAGCTGCACCTGCATTTTTTGGTTGTTTTTTTTTTCATCCTTTACTAGCCATGGTAGTTTTTTATTTTGATTTATTCTACCTCAACTGTAAGGGAGTGATTATAAAGAACAGGCAGTCTTCCAGCATGGAATCAACAAGTGTTGGTTTAAATTGTGCCCTTCAGCCTTTTTTGGCTAAGACTTGTTTCAGCCAGTTGAGATCCCTTTCATATTTCCTCACAACATATGGCTTGTGGCACCTCATGTGCTGTCTAGAGTGTTCCATGTGTCTCACAGGTTGAAAGATGGTACAGTTTATTTGTATGAACAAATCATTGGTTGCTTAGGATGCATCTGCCTCTAACTTGTCATTTCCTTCATTCTCTTGTGCATTGCACTCTTAATTTTACCAGTTCTCAGTAGCACCAATGGAGTCGTAAATATGTGGTGGGTTTTTATATGATCCTTTCTTCTCTCCCTCAGATTTTCCACCTTCTTAAAAAATTAGTTATGGAACATAATGTGAAAAATTAAATATATATATATTATATGTTATATATAAAATATAATGGAAAAGGAGAGACGACATTAGAAAATGAGGTCTGGTGAGGACTGGCATGCTGTGATTAGGACAGAGTAGGATGATCCTGAACAGTGGTGTGAAGTGGACTGGGTAATCTCTCAAGGTTATTTCTAGATTGATTTCCATTCACTCCTTGAATGCTTTCGTAATGTTCTGATCTGTTATGTGCATTGGCCACTCACTGCTGATCACAGTCTTTGAAACAGCATTCGAGACACATGTGGGGGTTACTGATGTTCTACTGAGTTACAGATACTGCAGGAGAGTATTGCAATCACCTGACCTATCCTAAAGTCTTCCCAGCTGATTATAAAATTGAATTAATCTCTTCTGTCTTTATGTGTTGCTTCTCAGCCCAATCTTGGTTTTGGGCCACACTGAAATTTCAGTAATACAGCTGTGGTCCCACATAAGCAACATGATCGTTTAATGCTTTCAGTGCACTGCTGTGACCATGCACCCAGTTTTATGAGCATAGCTGGGATTTGAAAATCTGCCTTCAGAGCATGATGCTTAATTGCTTTCTCAAAAGATTGCAAAGTAATTTCCAGTCCCAGTCTTAGTGCCCTCACTGAGCAGGTCCCTCTGTCAAAACACCATTCCCTTTCCTTTCTTTGACTAGATCCAAACACAGTTTTTCCCTTCCCTCCATCCTCCCTCACCAGAGCATCATTTCAATCACTTCTCTTATTTACATTTTATACAGCACATTTCAGGATAGATAATTAAGTCCTTATCTATACAAACATTCACTTTTCAGTTGATTTTTAAGCAGTGCAGACCTTCTAGACACATTTGATTTAAAACACGTTTTACTCTAGCTGAAGCCAGCTGCTAATCAATGTAAGCTAAACCAAAATAAGCCCATCTAAAACTGAAATCATAATTCCTATGCGGCATTCCACACAGGCTTACCTAAATGACTTTTAAATTACTCTCTTAAATTAAAACAGTGCAACTTTCTTATGTAGGTAAACTCTTAGAATCCAATATTTTCCTGAACAAAAGGGATTTTCTTTGTGACTGAGAAAAAAATCCCTGAAACTAGTGGGGAGAGCATGGGAAGAAAATAATTTGTTATACTGAGCCTTGTTCTTCAATTATATTATCTCCATCAGAGTATGAACAGATCTTCCTATTAGATGATCATTTTACCAACACTTACTCTCACTAGGAGGATTCTCCATCATTGTATTCCAAATTCAAGCAGCATTCAGATTTGTCTGGGTGATATATTTTTGTCAGCGTGACAAAGGTTCCCGCAGTGTTTAATTACTCAGACTAGCCAGGGGAGAAGGAAAGAAATGAGCCGTGCTGAGTTTGCTGTGCCAGGCTTGCTGTCTGTTACATATGCAGGCGTCCTCTGAATGCGTGAAAGGAAGGCAGCACCTGAACTTCTGTCTCCTCTTTCCACTGGCTGTCCCTCTCCAGATGTCATGTTTGTTTTCCATTACTTGACTGTCTTTTGTCTCATGATCTTTTTGCAATTTGCTCATTTCCAGGGCAGCAAGTTCTTGGCTTGGTGGAAAACCAGAGTGATTGGTATTTGGGCAACCTTTGGAAGAATCATCGGCCCTGGCCAGCACTTGGGAGGGGATACAACACAGGTAGGCCCCAAGGGTTTTCTCTGAATTAATGTTTGCGTTGAACATGCAATCAGTCTCCTGGTATAGAGGGTATGAGATGAGGTAACTTAAACCTCCTTTCCTAACCTACTGCAAAATTTGTCATTTAAAGCAGTAAAAATGACGCAATGCGATGCATTTTGGAGTTGCTGGTCCTGTGCCACTCTGAGGGGGATATGTTCCTTCTCTAAATGGACTTAAGAGAGATTGTAGGAGAAGGACAGAGCTTTTCAGAGGTCTGACACATCCTCAGCACATCTCCTACAAGATTTCTGTCCATGATGACGCGTATGTAGGCACAGCAGGAAGAAAAGAATAGGAATCAAGGCTCATTTTCTGTAGAGAGGTAAATGGTATCACAGAATGTCAGCCCAATAAAGATATAACTCCTGTAGGACAGCAACAGGGTCATAATTGTCCTAATAAAATGCAAACTACTGGCCATCAATTTCTGCTGCCATGAGAAAGGAATAAAGGCTCTAGATCAGAGAATTTATTAGGTTACAAGAGACAGGTCTTCCCGCTGATTTGTGTTTGGTGTGTGAGAAAACATACCAGGTGCATAAAGAATACACACGTACATCTAAATCATTTCAATGCTAGGCTTTACATGCTGATCCAGTGAGTTAGGTTCCCTCTCTATTTATCATAAAAGGGCAGAACAGATGGCGAAGCCTCTATTTAGAAAAGATGAGTCTGTTTAAATATCCCTGCACTATCAGGAAATTATTCACCATAATAGTGGTTTTGCTTCACAGAAATGGGTTGGCTTGAATTAAACAGACTAACTAGAAAAAGGATTGCACAAGTTGTGGTTGGGTCATCTGTATTTCTATATTCCTTTGTATATTTGAGAGAATCATGCCAGTTTTTGTGAATTTCTATTTCAGCCTCTGCAAAGCATCTCTGTTCTGTGAAAATGTTCAAAAGAATAGCCTAACAGAACACAGATAGATATGGATACAAGATTTTGGCAAAAGAGGTTTGTTTCCTGGTTCTCCACTTGCCAGAGCAGAATTGCATATATAAAGGCTTGGGCTGCCCACCCCTTCCCTCCATCACTCCAAAAGCATGAGACAGAGCTAAGTTTCATGGATTTGTCCTGAAACCTGAAAGCTTATGTTACACACAACTAAACTTGTTGATGTCAGTTCTTTGCAGTGTTACACCATGAAGCAGTATCTTTTGTTCTGCTGAAAGATAACCACCTTTTACAGTTACTTTCTTTCTGCTGCACTTTTGCTTTTTCCTTTCTGCCATTTTAATGCTGGCAGAGAGAAATGTGTCACAACCACATAACGTTAGAATAACCCAGAAATGTATGGTGGGTAGTATCTAAAATGCAGTTACGTAAATACAAATGCTGTAAACCTTTAATTTATATTGTCTTAACTTACTGTTCCAAATATTTTATGTCAGTATATCACAAAATTCTTCCACTGCAGTCAAAAATAATTGAATATCTGCAGTCCTTCACATACATTGCATGTGTTAATTCTTGGTATGTGTTAATACATACCTACCAGGCCATGGATAATCCTGCCCATGATTTTAGTCTGCTCACAATTTCTTGCTTCAGACAACTCACCTGTAGTTATAAAAACTTTCTTTTTTTTAGAAAAAAAACCAGAAGGTAGATAATAAATGGAAGATTGACAAGTGATCATAAGAAATGGAATCATGATTTTTCAAGTACATGGAACAAGAGGTCACTGAGTGAAACAGTGCAACCTCTGAGAAGTAGCAAACGATGTTATTGACAGAACCAGCATCATTTACTGTAATTTTCTTAATTGAATTCTTGCTTTGCCTCAGTAATCTAGCAGAGATTGGAGGTATAAATCTCTCAAGGAAAATGAAATACCAAGTGAAACGGGCTTGTTTGATGTATTCAGTAAATCAAAATAATTGACACTGAATGCAACACTGTGGCCAAGGAGGCTTCAGAAAACTAAAGGCGGGGGGGCAGGAAAGAGAGGCAATAACTCTAAGCAAAATGCTCATGAAAGAAAGTGGACTGGGAAAGGGAAGACTCAGAAATTCAGGTGCTTGGAGCTGTATTAGGAACAGTAAAAGGGCCCTCAAACCCCTGAAACTTTAATGAGCTAAACGAAGTTGGATCAGAGGGGAGCTCTCAGACAGACTTTGCTCTTGCTCTTGGGAGAGTGTTTGCTACAGTCCTAGGATACAATCCTAAGCAAAGGGATTCTTACATGAGCCTCTTCAGCCAGACCCAGCCTGCCAGATTTGATGCAGAAGCACCCCTCAAATTCAAAATTCTTCTGCTGCTTCCTCCCAGTTTCTGAAACAAATAATTTATCTTTCACTCCTACCTTTCTATGTCTGAGCCACTGCGGACAACGTATAGGTTGGAGAAGTCCCTGAAGGCAGCTACATTAAAGCCAAAGGTGTGTTTGTTCCTTCTCCACTAGCTCTTTAAACCCAGTAAGCATGTGCGTTCTCCTACTCATGTTTTGCCAGGGCACATCTCCTGACAGCCAGTACAGGTTTTCAAGGAAATATTTTATTTGCTTGTTTTTCATCCTTCTTCCTCATTTGCACAGGCAGAGAATTCAAGTCCTACTTCAGTCCATGATGTCCTGGTTTCAGCTGGGATAGAGTTAATTTTTTTCCTAGTAGCTGGTACAGTGCTATGTTTTCGATTTAGGATGAGAATAAGGTTGATAACACACTAATGTTTTAGTTGTTGCTAAGTAGTGCTTACCCTAAGTCAAGGACTTTTCAGTTTCCCATGCTCTGCCAGCTAGGAGGTTTAGAAGAAGCTGGGAGGGAGCACAGCCAGGACAGCTGACCCGAACTACCCAAAGGGATATTCCATACCATAGAGCATCACGCCCAGTATAGAAACTGGGAGGAGCTGGCCAGGAGGAGCTGATTGCTGCTTGGGGATGGGGTGGACATCAGTTAGAAGGTGGTGAGCAATTGTATTGTACATCAGTTGTCTTTTCTTGGGCTTTATTTCTCTCTCTCTTTTTGTTATGTCCCTTTTCATTACAATCATTATTTTTATATTATATTTTATTTCAGTTATTAAACTGTTCTTTTCTCAACCCATGGGTTTTCCCCTTTTCTCATTCTTTCCTTCATCCCACCGGGTGGGAGTGAGCAAGCAGCTGTGTGGTACTTAGTTGCCGGATGAACTAAATGACAACACATGATAATATAATCTTAGGAAAACCAGACCAAACTCAAAAATCAGTTCAGCGAGAATTTAATTGGTGTTTAAAATGTTCTTAGTTAGAACCATTGTTTAGTTGAGATAGCATTCCCTTCCTCATTTTAAACACAGTTCCTTCTGTACCACAAAGGTACTCAGGTTTTTTCTGTAGCTCACCGGCCAAAACTCAGTAAGATGCTTAATCAAATACTTTTTTTATATATCATCCACTCCATTTTGCTTGTCTACACTGAGATTAGCTCTTACAGACTCCTCATACATTAGTTAAAGCACACTTTTCTTTCTCTGTAATCCATATTGTCTTTCACTGACTAAACGGTGCTTTCGAAAGTATTGCCTGAGCCGCACTATGATTTTTCTCTTTACAGATGTTAAACTGACAGCTCCAGAATTGCACTGTATGGTTTGATGTTCATTTCTGGAGTATCTGAGTCCTCAGAAAAATATCTTGTCAAAGAAATTCTAAACATAAAAGCTTTTAGTACTTTGTCTGCCTTATACTTTCCATCATGGTGGAGAATAGCTTTTAAAAGCAGTTTCTGTGACTGTTACCGTGATTTGAGGCCACTTCCTCAGCTGGTGTGAATCACCCCTGGCTTCTCTGGCTTTAGTGCAGTAGGGCCAACTTATATCAGCTGAGAATGGACCCCATGCCTTTCAAATGGAGCTTTAGAATGGATCTGTGCCTGTAATTTGGGTGCCAGAGGAGCATTTGTAAAAGCTTTGGCCCGGGGGATTTCAGACTTCTAGGCTACAGAAGCCCATCCTGAGGATTTGGGGCTCATCTGAAATACACTGCCTGAGTGCAACTACTAGATACTGCAAGGAGGTATCTCAACAGCTTGAGCTGAGGCTTCATACTCCCACACTGAGATGTCACATTACCAGATTTGTGGATTGAGAACAGAAGGGAATGGCTAGCGCCTTACCAGGCTACGTGTGCACCGTGCATTATTACTCCCATGTTTTTAATGACTGGAAGAATACTAAAACGAATCTCTTTCCTTTATTGTTTCCCTGAAAAAAAAGGACCTATGGAAGATGAATTGGAAGTGGGAAGCATATGTTATGTCATTTTTGCATAATATTTAACAATTGTGAATAATAAAGAAAGCGTAGGGCAGACTGTTTATATGAAATTAGACTGGATCACATCTTGTGCTTCTTCATGATGATACTGTGCATCTTCAGTGCAGAAAGCAAGTGACTGGTAAAGCAGTGGAAAATGAGGTCATGGTCGTCATGAAACTGCCTGTGGTCCTGCTCCAGAAACACGATAACAGCTTTCATCTGTGCTCCACAGGCTTCTGCTCACGACATTATGATAATGGCTCTGATGTTGAGAAGTGCTGAGCACTTTTAATTTAATCAGACATTTGTGTTTTGCAGAAATCCTCACAATTAATGCTTTAAACAGTTATTGTTGCCTAATTCTGGATAGATCTGTTGCCAAAATGCCTTTTTTTCCCCTGGAAGAGTCAGAATGCCATGACAGCCATCTGAATATAACACTAATTTACAAACTATATTCCACAGATTCTGACTAAAACTAGTGCTTTTCTCCATGGTGTAAAGAAAGGAATAAAGTGGTTGCTTGAGAGAGGAGATTTTTCCAAATTGTCTCAGTGAATGAAGAAATCGGAAAACTCATGGTTTGTAGAACCTTTAGATACCCACCATCAGGGCCTGACTCAGTTTAGCCATGCCCTCTCTAAAAGCTATTGTGATATTCCTGTCTCCCATTACATAAAACATTTGTCACGTTTGGTACAGGAACTGGTAT